ATCGCTAACCCTCCTAAGTCACTCGGGGCATCTGTAGCCTACTTGTAAGCCAGGTCGGGCCAGATATAACCACCTTGGCATCCGCTTATACAAAGGCACAGTCTGAATACTACTCTCCCCTCTCCCCTGACTCTGTCCAGAAGGTCCCCCGTTCTCTCCGCATACTGTTTTTGTTTTAACTCTTGATTTCATGATTTGTTTTTTTAGTTTGTTTCGTGTCAATTCGGTCCATTCTGGTTCTTCCAGATGGTGTTCCCGCTGAAGCGCCGCCCCCATCGCGCTTCGATCATTCAAAATCGTGCTCCCGCTGCAGCGCTGGCCTCGTTCCCGCGCCTCCGGACGGCACTTCGCATTCGAAAGCGCCCACATCTGGCAGGCACGGTTGCGGAGGACATGGAGCCGGCATTCCGGACAGGCCTTGTCTTCTTGTGGACGGGCCATATACCCTCCAAGTCATCCGGCGCAATGGGCATGCAATGAGATGTTGGATGCTGTATTGTGCACCGCTGTGCGATACCATGTTTTGCGTTGCTGTACGGTGTGATGCAATGCTTCACTACGCATTGCCCCGCCATGAAATGAAATGCTATATACTCTGCCGTGCTCTTCTACGCCAAGCTTTCTCATTCATCGCGCACCCGCATGGGATCAGTGCCCTGCTCGACATCCGACTGTGCGAACATATAGGGGATCTACGCCATGATAAGGGATGGGAGGGAGGGGTAGGACGTCAGGCGTGACGCTGGCGCACCTAGCTTGAAACGAGCCCCCTCTCCACGTAGCACCCCTTCGCGGTCATCTCAGCGGGGGGTGGTGGATCTCATGGCTGGAGCAGCGACGTCTCCCCGGAATTCGTGGCCCCTCTTCTTCTTTCCATGCGTCCTCTGGCTCCACCTGGGCCGCGCACGTGCCTCGGGCCACGATTTGCGAGCCCCCCCTCTTGGACGCCTCCGAGGCCTGCTTGCGCGGGACTGCCACAGGAGAGCCGGCGCCCGTGGGCCCCGAGCTCCTGCGCCGTGATCCCGCAGCCCGTCGGACCGACGACAGGAGCACGACGCGGCGTCTGCTGGCACGTGAGCTCGAAGAATGCTTTTGCACGCTTTGGTCGTCGGCGGCGAGGCAGGGATCGTCTGCGCCAGCGGAGTGGCCTAAACGGGGATACCGTTACGTCGGGCCTGTCCCTCTACAGGGGACTATGCAAAAATGATCCAAAATAGTATGGGGACGATTTGTGGACAGGTATGTTTGCATACTTTTGTGGTATTTTCATTTTTCGTCCAAAATCGGCCTGTAGGGGGACATGTTCGACCAGAGGATACCGTTGAGGCGACTTGTGCCACCATGCAGGAGGGAGGGGAAGAAGCGGAGGGCGGAAGGTCTGCACGCACGAGCAGGCTCGCCGCCGAAGAGCTGGGCGAGCACGGGGCCGCCTCTGCGACCAAAGGGACCCTCGGCCGTCCAAAACGCCCGTCCAAGAGTGGCGGCGTTTTTCCAAGAAGGGCGCCGATATAAGAAGGAGCACGCGCAGGGCTGCGAGCTTTGGGGCACCAATGCCTCTCAGCGAGAGTGATCGCCAGACGAGCCCGTCGAATGTCCGACCGATGGGGCAAGCGCCACCCAGCAATCAGAGATGGCATCACCGGCCCAGATGTAGCGTTGCCCCTACTCGCGAATGCGGAGGAAACGCGCTGCATCCCCTGACTGGTTGTCTTGCCTCATCTCGTGGGGCATGTCAGAAACCGTCAGAAACCCTTCCAGGGCCCATTGGACCTGTAAGAGCCTGGAGCTACCTTGTAAAGGCGGCTGAAAATCGGCTTGATCGGCTTGTGGAATACAGGGCTTCCTGTCCTGGTTCGCAGATCCGCGATCTTCTCTCGCCAGTTTCTTACATGGTGATCCGACTGGCCAGTTCTCGGAAGTTCCCAGGTGTTGGAAGGAGGACGGGGCCACTTTTCGTTCCGAAGCGACGTTATATATGAGTAGTCACCGTATAGCAGGTAGCATGTTCGTCAGCTCATCCCAGCATATTTTGCAGTGGGTGCCACATCGGCGTCTCTCATGCGAGGTGAGGGGGGTATCGCGATGCGAAGAGGTGTCTGCCTTGTCCGAGCATTTTCACGCTGAGTGGTAAGAGGATCCTGCAGGCATGCGCGTCCTCAGACGACGGTGATTGAATATCAATCTAGATATGTTAGCCAGCGTGGACCCCAAACAGTGATGTCTTGCAATCCCTTCGGCGCAACCTAGGTGGTGCAATCAATGTGGTGCAATCAAGGCTATGCAACCCATGTGCGCACTATGTGGCGCAAAGCCATGCAAAACAGTGCAAAGCAATGCAGCGTAATGTAATGGCATTGCAAAGCAATGCAAAGCAATGCAGAACAATGTACGGCAATGCAACGCATGGCAAAGCAACGTCAGCCAATACAACGCAATGCAAAGCAATGCAATGCGATTGCAGTGCAAGTCACTTCAAAGCAATGCAGAACAATGCAAGGCAATGCAACGCTACGTAACGCAACGCACTGCCAAGCAATGCGATAACAATGCAAAGCAATGCACATCAATGCAAATCAGTTCAACCCAATGCACAGCAATGCAAAGCAATGCACCTCATTGTAACATAATGGCAGCAATGCGCATCAGTGCAAACCAACGCAACACAATGCGTTTGCAAAGCAAGGCTATGCAAATCATTGTTTAACCGTGCAGAGCAACGCAAACAAGTGCAATACTATGCAAATCAAAGCATCCTGATGCAAGGCAATGCAGAGTAATGTAATTCCATACAAAGCAATGCGGCTGAAATGATTGCAATGCAGGGCAAAGCGATTGCAGTGCAATGCGATTGCAATGCAGGGCGATTGCAATACAAGGTGATTGCAATGCGATGCGATTGCAATGCGATGCAGTGCGGTTGCAATGCAATGCGACTACAGTTCAACGATGGGGGGAGGTGCAACGGGGCGGCGGCGACGTGCGGGAGCGGGGCCGATAACAGGGCCGCAAACAGGGGGGGGGGGGGGCGGGTGCAATGGCGCGGCGGCGACGGGGCGGCGACGGGGCAGCGACGAGACGGCGACTGCGACCACAAGGCGGCGGACCCGACAACGGAGCCCAGACGACGGGCGGCGACGAGGCGGTCACGGTGTGGCGACGTCGACCACAAGGCGGCGGACCCGACAACGGAGCCCAGTTCTTGAGAAAGAAGGAAGGACCCCTAAGTGGGAGCACTGGTTGGGGAATCGTTAGTTCATACCCCTTCTCTCTCTCTCTCTTTCTCTCCCCTTCTGCCCCGATGCCCATCCTACGCCATCCTATCTCCTCATTCGCAGCTCTCCTCCCTCCTCTGTCCTGTGTCCTGTACCCGCCCTCCTCCTCGCGCCTTCCCTCCCGCTTCTCCTCGCTGCAACCATGCACACTGTTCCCCTTTCTCCCCTGACAGTCCGCAGAGGTGTTCACGCCTCTGCCCGCACATGGTTATCGCATACCTGATTTCATGACGTTGTATTTCCGATGTGGTTTTGCATTCCGATTCTTATTGAAAACGAGGTTTGAATGAATTCAAAGAGCCGTTCTATACACTGGTATCTTGCATGGCTTTGAATGAGTTCAAGAACCCTTGCACACATGCGTGTTTCGAATGTACTAAACTACCGTTCTTTACATGCGAGCGTTGCATCATTGAGCAAAGACGCGCCCGCTTCAGCATCGGCCGCATGTTAAGGATTGTTGCTTCGCTCCCGTCGTTCGCGGTGACGCTCTCGCCCCAGCGCCAGCCACACGTTTGGATCCGGTTCCTTCCTCACAGCTGCCGCTACCCTCCCCTCCCCTCTTCGGCCTTCCTGCCGTATACCCTTGCACCTCCTCCTCCTCCTCGGTCTAAAAAAAGCTCGGTCCCAGGTATGTTTGGTTTGCTAAGTTCTGGGCCGCTGTGCTGGCCAGTAGATTGTGAGTTTTAGCCGTGCCGCCGCCCCCCTTGAGCGCGTGCCCCCGCGCCCTGGGGCGGGTTGAGGCTCGAGCACTTGGCCGTGCCCGAAGGGGCGGGATGCTGAGTGAAGCTGCCTTCAAAGGCCACTCAGGGACCAACTTTGTTGCTCGTGAGTAGGTGACTCACGGATCGGCCCCCCAGAGTCGTTCGTTCGTTCTCTCTGCTTCCGCTCCTCCGCTCCTCCTCCCCCCTCCTCTTCCTCCGTGCTCATCCGCCCTCTCGTCGTCCGCTGTACGCAGCTTCCCCCCCAATGTTCCGATTGACCAGCAAGCGATGTATTAATTCTTGCAGATGCTGCTTGGGAATCCAGCTCCTCTAGGACACCGCAGTCGGCGCGGATACGCAAGGAGTCAACGCAGCGGCATGGGATGTGCGGTAAGGGGCAGGATGTCAGATGTTGCGCGAGCGCACCTGGCTTGCCTCTATCCTCTCTTGTTTGTTCTTCATATCTTTTTTTTTTCTCTCTCTCTCTCTCTCTCTTTCTCTCCTTTTCTCGCTTCACCTCTGCCCTCTCGCTTCTCCTCACTCCTCGCTGGTTACCCCCTCTCCTTGCAGAAGAGGTTCCACGCTGTTCAGGACGCATCCCAAATGGAAGAAATAGCGTCCAGAACAGACCAAACTAATCACCTCTCGAATGCAGGTCGAACTTCAATTTAGGAGGGCTTTGTTGTGGAGCATCCTGAGCTCTGACTTTCATTCGCCCCTCTTTCTCGCCTCTCCTCTCCTCCCTTCCTCCTTTTTTCCTTATCCCTGCCTCCTCCCCTCCTCCTCCCAGCCTCCTCCCTACCTCCTCCCTTCCTCCCTTTCTCCTCCCTTCCTCCGCACTCCTCTCTCCTCCCCCTTGCCGCTGACCACCTAAAATCCCCTAGAGCAGAAAAGCAGCAAAGGCATTGTTATCGTTTCCTTCTCCTCCGTCCTCTCTCCTCTCCTCTCCCGCTCCTCTCCCTCTCCTCTCCCTCTTCTCCCCTCTCCTCTCCTGGCAGAGAGTGGCCGCCTCTCTCCCCGCCAGCCGAAGAAGACCGAGCTCCAGGGCGCGTGGACACCAGGAGACCGCGCCTGCCCGCACGACCTGCGGACAGCAGCAGCAGCAGCAGCGGCAGCGGCAGCGGCGGCGGGAACGGGAACGCAGGGCATACTTCAGATGTCGCCGCGCCGTTTGTTCCGACGCACGGCCTCACGTCTTGGGAAGGGCGCCGCAGGCAACAGGGCAAACGCCGCCTCGGCCGCGGTGGGTTCGCCGTGGGTTCGCCGCGGTGCCTGCGTCGTCTACTTGGGCGCGGGGCGCAGGGTTTGCCGTGGGTTTGCGCTGGTGTCGGCGTCGCCCACTTGGGCGCGTCGAGAGCAAACGACGCGGCGACAGATCGGCTACACGCGAGGGTGACCCTTCTCCGGAGTGACCCCGGGTGCCCGCCTGCCGGCAGGCGCGCGGGGGCCGAGCCTCCAAGCACGCAGTCCTGTGCCGTCGGACCGGACGCAGCCTGGCAAGCCGCGCACCAGCGGTCGCTCTTGCCGAGGGCCACCTCCTTGCGTGTCCCGTCAAGGCGCTGGAAGAAGGACCGCTTTGGGCTCAGGAAGGGCTCGGGTTTTCGGGCCGCTCCTCAGATTTCATGATGTGGAGCCTGTTTGTGGCCTAGGCGTGCCGTGGCCAGAAAAGCGGATTAATTTCTCATCATGCATACCTAACGGCAGCGCGATGACCGTAGCCGACGCTGCCGGAGGAGGAACACATACCGATACAGATGCCCGTCCCTCATCACCACGGCTGCATTCGCCTCGAAATCATGGTTAGGCCGCGCCCCAGGACAGGTCCCTGGAGTAGCGGTATAGGCACCTGACCGTTCCCACCAGACTCGGTCACAGTCACCTTCCGAGTGCCTCTGGGGGCCTCGGAGGCCCCCAGAGGTACTCAGAGGGTGACTGTGATGAGGGTGGGGAGCGAATGGTGGTGAGGAGGAGGAGGAGGAGGAGGAGGAGGAGGAGGAGGAGAATGAGGCGGAGGAGGAGGAGCTTAGTTCTTGAAGTTTGCCTAACGAAAAGCAGCAAGGAGGAGGACGAGGGATAATATGGAGGAGCAGAAAGCGGAAGAGAAGAAGCTGTAGAGAGGAAGGGACACTATAAGGAGCCCGAATATCAGTATTAGTATCACGAAGAGAAGACGGGGATGAGGACAAAGAGAGAAGGAGAAGGAGGAGGAAGAGAAGGAGGAGTAGGAGACAGGGAGAATGTGGTGGAGGATGAGGGGGAGGAGGAGGAGGAGGAAGAGGAGGAGGAGGAGGAGGAGGAGGAGGGAGAGGAGGAGGAGAGGAGGAGGAGAGAGGAGGAGGAGGAGGAGGAGGAGGAGGAGGAGGAGGAGGAGGAGGAGGAGGAGGAGGAGGAGGAGGAGGAGGAGGGAGGGAGGAGGAGGAGGAGGAGGGAGGAGGAGGAGGAGGAGGAGGAGGAGGAGGAGGAGGAGGAGGAGGAGGAGGAGGAGGTGGAGGGGGGCCAGGACAGTGAGGAGGCAGCCGCGTTTCGCCTGCAGCGCGGTGCACAGCGCTCCTCTGCTGACCCAGGAAGCTCCTGGAAGCCCCAACAGAAGTTCCCGGAGGTCTCCGGAGATCCCCCAGAGGTCCCCAGAGAGCAGGCCTCTTGAGATCTTCTCAGGGGCAACGTCAGGGAGGAGGAGGAGGAGGAGGAGGAGGAGGAGGAGGAGGAGGAGGAGGAGGAGGAGGAGGAGGAGGAGGAGGAGCAGGAGCAGGAGGAGGAGGAGGAGGAGCAGGAGAAGCAGGAGGAGGAGGAGGAGGAGGAGGAGGAGGGGGAGGAGGAGGAGGAGGAGGACAAGGAGGAGGAGGAGGAGGCTCAGGGGGGATGCTTCGATCCACAAACGCCCACTCATCGCCGATAGGGGCCCAGAAGCACACCCCGCCCATGAACGTGCGTAGTTGCTGTCAGGGGCCTATCGCCGACCTGTCGGCGATGCACCGCGAATTCCGAGGACGAAGACGAGGACGAAAACGGGGACGACGGTTACAACGACGACGCAGAAGCGCTCCAGAGTTTTCTTGAACGCTCTTCGAGCGTCCTGGAGCGCCCTGGGACGACCGCGGCGCCCGATACCTCCAGACCAGCCAGCTCTCAGAGATCCCGAGTTGTCTCTGCTCGTTTTGTCCGGTGGCAGGTTTCTCTTTGTCCTGATGGCTCCGAGGCCTGTCGAGTGCCCCTGGACGCTGAAATGGAAAAGCACTGGGAGTTGGAGCAAGACTCTGCAGGAGTTCTGGTCTGCGGAGGCCCCAAGGCAGGAGGGTTTGGAGGAGCAGCAACAAAAGCACCCCACACCCTCCGTCCTTGTCGTTGCTCGCCGGCTCCCGCCCCGCGGGGATTAGGAAGGTGTGGGGATGGTGAGCGGGAGGAGGAGGAGGAGGAGGAGGAGGAGGAGGAGGAGGAGGAGGTGGCGGCGGCGGCGGCGGAGGAGGAGATAGGAGATAGGAGAAGGAGGAGGAGGAGGAGGAGGAGGAGGAGGAGGAGGAGGAGGAGGAGGAGGAGGAGGAGGAGCAGAAGGAAAAGGAGCAGGAGGAGGAGGAGGAGGAGGCAGGACCTCCTTGCGCCTCACTGCCTCCTCGCGCGTCTTCGCGCAGCCTGTCCTCGGACAGGCCGCGGGGGGGCGCTCGAGCTGTCGGCAGCCCACGGGGTGGGGAGTATGCTCGCCCGCTGCCTCCTGGGGTCTGGCGGAGCGGGCCCGCGGGGCCGGACGGCCAGGGCGGCACACCGAGGAAACTCGGAGGCCGACAGGAGCCCCAGCCCGCCGAGTCGGCGACCGTTGATCAGGAGGGGAAAAAACACACAGACACAATTAATCGTCGATTCCCAAGAAAATATGGGAAAATATGGGAATTGGGCGGGAAGACAAAAACCCAGAAAATATATGAAAATATGGGGGATCATTTTATTTGTGTGTATTTATTTGTGTGTCCTGGGGCCCCTTGAGTTGAGGCATCTGCCCCGCAAACAAAGGATGACCATGGATATCACCGCCGCCTAAACATTAACTTTTGGCGCTCCGCGCGGATTTCTTGGATCCGCGCTTGGGCCCCCCGGCGGCGCCTCCGGCGCCGCCCTGGCGCGCTCCTCGCGCCAGGGAGGGGGGTCCGGCGCCGATCCAAGAAATCCTCGCGGAGCGCCAAAAGTGTTGATGGCATTTTCTCCTCTTCTACATGAGGCTTCAGACCCGAGGGTTCCTTCTCTCATGGGGGCGGCGGTGATATCCATGGCCAAACTTCAACTCGTGTTCCACCAGCTTTGAGGCCCTGGATTGCTTATCCCTTTTGGGTTCTCGAGAGAGCGTTATGGCCGCCATGTTTGCGGGGCTGCGCCCTGGTCCCGGGCCGTGCTCGCTGTTGCACAGGGTGTGTTGCTGAGAAGGCTCTACTGTCCACCCCCGAGGGAGAGAAAGAGAGAGAGAGAGAGAGCTCCGCGGACGACCTGTGCGCATCGTGCCGCGTCGGCATCCCCCGAGGCGCCCCCCCTCGCCCCAGGAATGCCACAGCACATGGCCTTCTCGGCCCGCGGGGCCGGCAAAGTGCAGTGGAAGCCCGTGCCAAGAAGCACCCCGCCTGCCTCCAGGGTGCCCCGGGTGTCTTGGGCTTCGATGGTTTTGCTTATGGACAGCGTGGACGCTCTCACACCAACAATCCATGGACTTCCTGGGGTCTCAGGGTGGGGCTTCTGGTGGAAGGCTTCTTGCGGTCGAGCCCTTGCTGAAGAAGGCGCTGGCCTCGTCTGCAGCCGAAAGGCCGGCGCCCTCTGAGGAGCAGCCTCCTTCTAAGACGCCTCCCCCCCCCCTCCCCCTCGCCTCCCCCGGGCGCGCGGCCCGCCGTCCGCAGGCCCCGGGGCCCTCCGAAGGGGAGCCGGGGCGCAGAGCTGCCCCCCCCCGCGGAGGGGGGCCGGGAGCTCCGGGGTCCCGCACCGCGAAGAGCTGTGGGCACCGTGCCGCGCCGGAGCGGGGCCGGAGGGGAGTCCAGGCCTGGCAAAGGTGCTCGGCCGCCGTGCTCGTGGGAGAGAGGGGGGGGAGGAGGAGGAGGAGGAGGGGGAAGTGGAGGAGGAGGAGGAGGAGGAGGAGGAGGAGGAGAAGGAGGAGGAGGAGGAGGAGGAGGAGGAGGAGGAGGAGGAGGGGGAGGCAGGGATCGGAGGGGGGGGCCGTGGAGACGGCGGCGGCCCTCCCGGCAGGCCCCCCGAGCAGCTCAAGCAGTGTTGTCCGAGGTGCCTCCAGGGGTCTAATCCTCGGGCGGCGCAATCGATGCATATACAGTGGGCAAGGAATCATATGCTGTTCGTCAGGGTACCCTGGGCCCCGCGCGCTGCGCGGTGACTTCCTGCGGCCGTCAAGCAAGCTGCTCCGCTCAGGACGCTCGGGGTGTTCCCTCAGGTGTCCCTCGCGCGCGGCTTTTCAGGGCCGGGTTTCTTGCGAGGGTTTCCCGCGGCCGCGCCCGCACTGCGCAGACAGGTCGGGCGCGCGAGGGGGAGGAGTTATCTACAAGGAGAAGTGATGGAGGAGGAGGAGGAGGAAGAGGAGGAGGAGGAGGAGGAAGAGGAGGAGGAGGAGGAGGAGGAGGCCGCCTCGTCCGTCTCCCGCTCCCCTCCCCTGCCCTCCTCCCTCACACCCTCCTCGAGCGATCCTCCAGCCTCGATCCTCCCCCCTCACCAGACATCCGACGCCCTGATGTTTCAACACGCGGCCGGCCCTTCCCTAAGGCCGGATCTTCACCCTGAGCCGTTTTGGAAAGGCCATCGACTGTTCGTTTTGCTTTCTGTACGACGCGAGCACGTGGTTGTTGAGCCTCCAGCGGCGGCTTCGGACGATCCGGGCCGCCCGGGACCGCCCTTGGCGAGGCGCGGCTGCCGGAGAACGCAGGGAAGGCACACCCTGTCTGACCCCGCGCGGCGGCGCGCAGGGCTCCCGATCCTTAGAAAAAGCCCAGGGTTCGCTAGGAGAGGAGGAGGAGGAGGAGGAGGAGGAGGAGGAGGAGGAGGAGGAGGAGGAGGAGGCTGGTTTCCCCGAAAACGACAAGGACCCGTCTCAAACCCTCCCGAAGCCCTCCGGATAGCCTCCTGGAGCCCCTCCCGGAGGGTTTTCGGACGGTTTCGGGAGGGCGTCGGTTGTTTGGGAAGGAAGCCAGTCCCTAAGTAGCGAACCCTGGACTTTCCCACACAACCCAGCGTGTCGGGGCTCCCAGTTCAGCGCCCTCGGGGAACCTCCGGGAACCGACGAAGGCGTCCGAATGCCGACGCGAACGTCCGAAGGCGCCGCGCGCGCGTCCAGACTGGGAGGCCGCGCGGCTCCGCTGGGCCGCGGCCCCGCGGCAGGAGCCTCGAGGGGCGCGCCCGCGCTGTCCAGAAGCACGCCGGGCGCGGAGCAGGTCGCCGACGCGCTGCGCACCACGGAAGGCGGGCACTGGGAGAGGGGGGGGGGGAGGACCGAGGGGGGGCATGGGGAGGAGGAGGACCCGGACCTCCCGTCGCAGAGCAAAAAATGGCATAAGCATGAATGCTCGACGGTCTGCACGGATTTCTTGGATCTGCGCCTGCCCCCCCCCTGACGGCGCCTACGGCGCCGCCCCTGGCGCGCTCTGCGCGCCAGGGAGGGGGGTGTCAGCGCAAATCCAAGAAATCCGCGCGGACCGTCGAAAGTTCATGTTGATACAATTTGTCTTCCTCTATTCCAGGAAGTTTCAAAAACGGCACCAGGACCTCGACCTCAAAATTCGAGCCGAGGCTTGAAAGGCAGACCAGATCGGTCTGTTGAGATCTGGAGTGTTACCTGTTCTAGCCACTCTGGAACGCCCAGGAGAAAAGGGGAGGGAGGGAGGAATGGAGGAGGAGGAGGAGGAGGAGGAGGAGGAGGAAAGGAGGAGGAGGAGGAGGAGGAGGAGGAGGAAAGGAGGGGTGGAGGAGGAGGAGGAGGAGGAGGAGGAGGAGGAGGAGGAGGAGGAGGAGGAGGAGGAGGAGGGTGGTGGTGGTGGTGGTGGTGGTGGTCACTGCATAAGGGAAACAGAATCCCGAGCAGAGCAACACGCACCACGACCACGTCGACGCCGACGACGACGACGACGACGGAGACGAGGCGCGCTTACGATCCGCACCGAAGCACGGATTTGGGAAAGGGCCCACCCTGCAGGTTCGGTTAAACAGCACATCGTTGAGCGGTGCTGCAGCCTCCCCTGAGCACAGGCCCCCCCAGAGCATCAGCCAGACAAGTCGGGTTTGCACCCTCATGCCTTGCTGGACTCTGGGCGCGTTTCGGCAGGAGCAAGAGGAGGAGGAGGAGGAGGAAAGGAAAGGAGGGAGCGGAGAAGGAGGAGGAGGAGGAGGAGGAGGAGGCGCGTTTCTTCGGCTTTTCGAGGAGGGAGGGCCACGGACCCCCGACGATCTGCAGTCTCTCCTCCCGGCGTGCTCCTTCGACTCTCGGCCTCTAGAGCCCCTCTCGGCCACGCGCGCGAGGGGGGCAGGGGGGGGAAGGCTCCTTAGAAGCACCCTGCTTCTTAGAATCTCAGTCGACTGCATACATGGATCAAGGGGGCGTGGATTAGCGACGGGTCACGCTTCCATGGGAGATCTCGGATTTTCGCCGCCGAGCGAGGCGGCACAGGCCGCATTTTTGGGGAGGGCACTTCCCCCGATCCATGGATTTGGCCACCGCGCGCCAAATCCATTGATCGCTAATCCATATTTGCGCGCCCCCGAGAATCGCTCGCAAGGCGCCGACTCGCAAATGTCCGAAAGCAAAGACATGCCTTCCTCTATACTAATGTATCGTAGATCCCCCACGGCGGATCCGGTCCATTTGCGAACGGTTATTTTGCGAGTCGTGGGCCGCGCTTGTCCATAGAAGACGCCTTCTAAGAAGCCCTTCTCCCCTCCCCCCCGCCCCCATTTATGCGCGCGGCCTACTGTAATTGGGGGGGTAGGGGTGTAGGCACCCTGCTTCTTAGAAGGCGCGGGCCCTATCTGCAGCTGTAAAGCCAGCGCCTTCGAAGTTCTAAGGAGCCTTCCCCCCCTCCCTCCCCCTCCTTCCGCTCCTCCTCCTCCGCCTCCTCCTCCGCCTCCTCCTCCGCCTCCTCCTCCGCCTCCGCCTCCGCCTCCGCCTCCGCCTCCGCCTCCTCCTCCTCCTCCTCCTCCTCCTCCTCCTCCTCCTCCTCCTCCTCCTCCTCCTCCTCCCCGTGCGCGCGGCCTAGCGTCATCGCGCACCGGGGCCCTCAGAGACGGCTAGCCCGGGCGCAGAGCTGCCCCCCGCGGAAAGGGGTCTGGAGGAGCTCTGGGGCCGCGGAGGGAAGCAAGTCAGATCGGAGGGTGTCCAGGAAAAGCGACGGGGGGAGGAGGAGGAGGAGGAGGAGGAGGAGGAGGAGGAGGAGGAGGAGGAGGAGGAGGAGGAGGAGGAGGGAGGGAGGAATGGAGGAGGAGGAGGGAGGGAGGAATGGAGGAGGAGGAGGAGGAGGAGGAGGAGGAGGAGGAGGAGGAGGAGGAGGAGGAGGAGGAGGAG